TCAACAAGTAAACAGGCGAGTTATCAATTATAATCTTTTGATGATGCTCCCATTACTCCTATGTACTGATAGAGATACATGTCCTATTTATTTATGTCCTTTGTTTCATAAGTTTGTTTTAGCTTTTTAGCCTACTATTGACCCCTGCATTTGTGGGCCTGGTAGATCAAGTCTGCAACATTTAGCGACTGAATATTTGTGGTCCAGAACCTTGACAAGAACTGAATGTTTCATCGTTACCAATACATGCACATTGATTATTAGAACATTTGTATTATATTGACCTGCCAGCTTAGTGTTTTTTATGTGCTTGCTCGGAAATGTTTTGGATTCTCCTTGATTCCCTTTGAGAATTTGGTTGTAAAGGGGATGGGATTTGTTAGTTAAGGAAGACTGAATTAAAGGAGTGTTGGACTTGATATAGACAGGCTGCTGTCCCCTTCTTTCACACTGTCTTTGAAAGAGGAAAAGCCCTTCATGACCTCTTCTCCTGTATGTGTTTGTTAATACATGTACATGTACTGTTATTCGCAATCGTAAAACTGACAGCAAACATTCTGTTGTGTTTCCCCAGACTGCATACACCCGGTCCCATCGTAGATCTGAGCCTTGGAACACGGCGGTCAGTGAGCACCAGCCTCGCGTCCCTGGCCAGCATGAGTTCATCGACATCATGAGAAGCAGCAGTAGCAGCAGGGGAACTTTTTTTCTGAACCCCATAGCTAGCTCCCCCCTGGACTCGGAGCTGCCACCCGTTATGTCGGGCCATCCCTCCTCCTCCAGCGCTTTCCTCGATGTGGACCTCAGCCAGGCAGCTTCCATTGCCCTCCCGCTCACCCCGCCCGAGCACAGCTCCCCGGGGCTCCTGCTCAGGGACAACGACGAGGCTTCTGTGAGGGAAGATGACTGGGATGAGGAGGAAGAAGAGGAGGAGGAGGACACTGATCACAGGAACTGCGGTTGTCATGACAGCCGCGCAGATGATGGCGTTGGGTTGTTCCCCATGAATGATTTGGACCTTGATCAAATAGAGAACCACTGAGACTGAGAGTGATGGAGCTGACCAGTGGCGCGAGTCTGCTCGGACTCCTCCCACAGGCATCTGTGCTGTGTACATACCACAAGTTTTCTCAATGAATTTCTGAAGGAGAATGATTAACATTTTAACATTTGTTTTGTGCACACACATTTTTACATTTTACTGCACAGTTTTTTGTTGAATTTTTAATCATATCGTCGCTGTGGGAAGAAAAATTAGTTACTCCATTTTGACCCTGCTTTACAGGCTGAGCATATAATGTTCCTTCTACAGCGGCGATGTGTAGTAAAGGAAAGTTATTCAAGCATCCCATATTTTTGTTCAGTGCACAAGGAAGGGTAGAACTGAATTTTTACCTGAGGGATAATTTTTAGGAGCATTTCTATGTTTTGTCAGTACTAACTTTTCACTGCAGCACTCAATATTGTTTCTTAAAAAATGGTCTAACACAGAAATAACTAAAGTATTTAAATCCAGTCTATCAAATTTTGCAGCCCTCTTATGTCAGTGTACCAAGTGTTGAGACAACGTCCATGAATTAAATTGTGTTCTATTTCTAGAGATTTGTATCTTTGTAATAAACAGTACCAGTGGTACTGGTGATGTTGCCAGAACTGCAGATTGATGGCAGGCAAGGCAGCAACTGTTGCTGGCAGACAGTTTCTTACAGGACAGATGAGGACATCATGATATTTCCTGTATCAGGCAGCTTTTTAAATCTTGGAACTTTAAGTACATTGTGCAATTTCCCTAACTTTGTAACGAACACAAGACAGGTAGGTCCTAGAATTTGGGTGTGCCCGGCTCCTGCAAATTGTTGGGTAGAATGGTAGATGTGTGGTTCTACCAGTCTGTTCGTGCACAGTGTGCATGTTGCATTTGCCTGTTAACTGAATCAAAGACTAATGCCTATCTTGATAAATGATTCAAAATTAATTTTATGAATATGTTCAGGTAAAGTTATTTATGGTTCTGTAAATTATAGGGGCAGCTTGAGGTATGTATTGAAAATAATTTTATTTGACTGAAAAAGAACTTTGGTTTTTGGAGCATTTCAATAATGAATTTTAGTTCATATCGTTGTTCTAGGTAGTGCAAGCACTATGTGGCTGTCATAAAGAGTCTTGGCATTTTCATTTTCTGGTTGAGTTCAATTTTTTGGTGTGACTTACTTCACACATTTTATAGGTTCCTTAAAAGAACTGATTTTTGTTTCTCTAAATGGTTGTGTTGCAGTCTAGATTGATAAGTTCCTTCTGTGGTACTATCAGCAGAAAGAGGAGTTTTCTATTTTTCTTGTGATGCCTTGTAGAGAAGTCATTTCAGCTAACTGAAACATTGTTTTGTCTGTGTTTAAAAAAAGGTATTTTTACTAAGTGGAATTCATCGCTGCGGGTGAGAGAGAAAGTTGGGACTAATTTGCAGATTTATTCACTATCATTGACTCTGTCTAAGAATTACATTGTACCAACGATATTCTTAGTAATATAGATTTAGTCTTTTTATATAACTTGTTCCAGTTGTATGGATTGGTATCCAATATTACTAGACAGTGGTGTTCCAATTGTATTGTTGATATATGAGCAAAGTATGATTTAGAGTGCACATCGAAGTATTCATTTAGTACTATTAGAGTTGCAGGTCAACAGTGTTTGTGGACAGATGTCTGTAGAAGTGGATATGCATGAACATCAATTGTACATACGAATGATAGCTCTGTACTCTGTATGTAAATGCATGTGTGTGTGTGTGTGTATGTGTGTGTGTGTGTTTCTTGTATGTGTTTGGTGGAATGAAGTAGGTCCAGTTTATCTCATGTACATAAAAAAGTTTGTGACTGGTGCGAATAGCTCTTGAAAGGCAAAGAGAAGACTTGACCTTTGCAGCAATAAATGACTATCAACAAAACGTTCAAATTGTTTTGGATGTGAGGCCCTTGTGTCTCTGGTTTCAATGATATGAGTTGTGCTCTCCACCTGCCCTCTGCACTCCTGGAGCAGGCAGTGAAGAAATCAAATGTGATGCTGCTTGTTGTACAGGCAGTGGCTTATCTTTCTTATGTCAATGATTTGAAATAACATCCTTGTGACTGCCAGCTACACATGTAGGCCTACACGCTGCTTCACATGTTTGGAGTAAAGACTTGAACAAAGTGGAGATCTCCTCTTAGATGAAAAAATTCTCTTGCATGAAAGATCTTGTACAGCAAAAGATCTTGTCAGTTTGTTAGTGTTTGAGCGCTAATCGGCTGCTTGCACTGTATACTTTTTTGGAAAGCCGAGAATGATTCTGAGTGTTATTGGGTCTGCTGAGGTAGTAATAGTTGTAAAACACATAGAGTATGCTGTAGAGCAATATATGCGCTATATATAGGTGCATTTAATTATTATCTCGTTCTCCAGAAGTATAACATGAGGGTTCATCTCAAAGTAAGGCCTCTGAGTCAGTCTAGTGATGCTCTTGTGTTTCTTTTCACTGTACAACGTCTAGTGGCTTTGTTGGTGCAGTTCAAGCTATTGATATTAATAATATATTCCTTTCGCTTTGAAAACACAACCAAGGACCATTATGTTATACATGCTTGTTGCTAATGTTTGTTGCTGATTCCCACAGACAGATAAATGGCGTTTGCTTCAGTTCAACTTAAAGGGGTTACTTCTGGTGCCTGTAGTGGTGAGACAATTGACAAAGCTCTCACTCTATCAGTGAGTTTACAAGAGGACTGGACCGTATCCTTTTACTCTCTGACACACAAATGTTTCCAAGGACAGGAATTAAACTTCACTCAGTGTAAAAAAAGTTGTTTCACACATTCTGTTGTCGTATTTCCTGTTGCAAGGTAGAAAACATCCATTTCACACGCATTCATTTAACAAAGTCTGTTCGTCTTTTTCTTTGTTATGTCATTGAAAAAATTACTTATCATTTTGACATTATAAAAGTCACATTTTTGTTGTGTATCCCCTAAGCTCATTTAAGAATTCAAAATCCTTCAGGCGTTTAAAAATATAGTTTTCCTGCTTTTAAAAAATGTCTAATTTCCTTAGCTTTTCTTTTTCTTTGTTTCTTTGGGTTTTTTATGTGTCGTGGCTTTTCCTTACTGGGCACAAATGTGTTACTTTTTGGAAGAGATACCCTCTACTACTTATTTGGGTGTGTCTAGGTTTTGAAAATTCCATTTTAATATCTGTTGTAATAATGCTGCGTCATAAGTTGAATTTTTGCTCACATGTGAAACAAGGTTGTTTTATGAAAGTGAGTAGCATCTGCGAATTGTCTTTATGGTACTCAGTGATGTGTTGTGAGATACTGTTTGTTGGAGAGTCCTTGTGAATGCCAGTATTGGAGAATGTCATAGTAGTAACAACAAATGCTGTGTCACACATCTACGGAGCATTCACTGCACTCCAAATTTCAGTACTTCATCCATGGGCATTAATGCTTTCTGTATGAAGGTTAAGAATATCAAAAGTAAATTCATTGACATCACCCCAAATTTGCAAGGATGGTATTTGGCAGATGCCTTTTTTGTGGGAAATTATACGGGTATATCAGAAGCGCTTTGTAAAGTGCAGGTGCCTGAATGATTGCCAGGTTACTACACAGCCATGGGCATGCTTTTGTTTTTTTGTTTGCCAACTTTTCAAATATCTTCACCTCCAGAAACACCATGTCTTCCAGGGTGAAATCAGTGTGATAAAGATGGGCAAACAAGACTGTACTTTTCTTTTCGTATCATGTGCCATTCATCCTCTTATGCACTAGACATAGTCACTTTGTTGTCTTTCAAGTCCCACACTGCAGGTCTCTTAAAAGTTTTGTAAGAAACTATATATATATCCAGTAAAGGGACAGAAAATTGGAATAAATTTGATTTATATAGAAAAGAGATGTTGCTTCCACTCTTAAGAGACCGAACAAAAATTGACTTGCAAAAGCAAACAATGGACGTATTTTTGAATATCCCGATTACAAACAATTGAGGATGTTTTTCTAAAATCCAGAAATCACACGGCTAGTGCTTTTCAACCCACTGCCATGAAGTAACAAGTTGAGATCATTTTCGGTTTCAGCTTGTCCCTGTCACACCCTTTCCTGACCTTTACTTTTATCTTTACAGTTTTTTTGAGTAGAGCAAATGAACCTGCTTTTTGTTAGCTTGAAGGACGTGATAGTTGATGAAGGGTTGTAAGCACAGCAGTATTTCACCTAGCACTGATGAGTTGAGACAAAACTTAAGGACTTGCCAGCTGGTTAAATTTGTTTTCTCCCAAGATCTGTGCTGAAAAAGGATTAGATAGTGCATGCTTATACTATTTGGGTTTATTTTCACGATTCAAGCAGAGAAACCTTTTTTCTTAGTTTTATTATCATTCAGTTTTTATTTTGGAAGTGCAGAAACCTTGAGCTGTCATCTATCCCATTAAGAATTACGTCTTTTTTGCAAATAGTGTGCGTTTGAACACCATTTGAATATCAGTGTCACCAATGGCATGTTATACAAGTGACTGCACTGTGCAGAATTAAATGTGTCTTTAGCCATTTCGTAAAACATGATTCATTTATGGAGGTCAGTTTGGCTTGGTGTCAAATGAAATGATTTTGCACTCCAGTACTTTGATTAGCAAATGGGCTGCAAGCTCTGTAATGTATAAATCTGGTCCACTTTGTAAACAACTCTGTTGTTTTCATTACACACTTTGAACAATATTCTGCCTTTTGGGTGTGACAATGGTTGAGTCATCAAACTGGAAACTGTACAGATCGCTCGCATTATCAATTTGAGTCACTGGCCACAATGGTGCCCAGGAATGGTCCGCTCAACAGTTGTAGGACAACAGCCTTCTTTTCAGGTCCTCCAGTCACTGGTACAGTGCCCTACCTCTCTTTGCTCTCATGATTTTGTCCGATATGTTTTGTGTTGCTGTGACTTTTAAAGTTTTATTTTGAGCATAATTTGCTGAGGACTTCTCACCCTTATTTTGGCAGGCCCTGCCTTTTCTCTTTGTCTCAGGCATGACAGGACCACAACATAAGTCTGTACAAAGTTTTTATATGACTTGGTCCTTGACATAGTTTATCCAAGTTGTCTGACTCAATTCATTTTTCAACTTGTGTTTTGAACTCAAAGACTGCAGAATAAGAAGTCTGTCATTTACTTTTCAGTATAGGTCTACTTAACAAATTTTGTTTCTCCTGGATCATGCTCTTTGACATGAATATACAGAGAGAACAACACTCGTATACGAACATTTATTTTGCTCCTTTCTAGAAGTCAAGTACTTTTACCCATTGAGGGGAGTTTACATAAAACGTGCTAAAACCAAGATTTTATCTTTAGTTAATTGAGTTTGTCAGTGCTAACAGTAGCTTGAATATATACATCATATGCATTGCTCTTCCATCCATACAGTTGACCACTGCCAAAGATTTGTCCAGAAAAACTCATTGTCTTCTGTGCACAAGGATGCTTATGCGCAAGTGAAAATACAAATTTAAAATCCATTTCTGTTTTGCTGGGAAAGACACATAGTGAAATATGGAGTCTCAACTTTAGAGCGCAATGTTTTCCATGCTTAGGATGGAGCACAAATAAAAAAGTACTTACCATTTGCAACAGCTGGGCAATGAATTCTTGTAGCATGTGTATTGCGGTGCCACAAAGACACGACAGGGCTTGGCAGTGTGAAATTATTGTATATGTTATTTTTTGCTCCAGGAGTGAAGTCATCGAGTTCATGTGCTTTGTTTTGTCAAGTCTGATCACAAAATGGTTCGGAAGCTACATAACAAATTTCCCTTGCACAAAAAATACATTTTGAGACTTGTATGCTGTAGAACTGTTTTCCATAGCTTGGAAAGAAATATGTGAAATCTATAACTGATGTAATTTTGTGTAATGTTCTGTTTGCCTGTCTTTATGTTGACAATTAAATTACATCATTATCCACCAAATCATTTTCTTTGAGTGTAATTTTTGAAGCAACAACCTATGAAGTTGGTTTGAATATGCTATACAAGTACAGACGGCCACCTCTATAAGACGGCCACCCGTACAAACGACCACTTTCCATTTCCCCCCTTGCGTTTTTTCAATATACAGTCGAACCTGCCCTGACGGCCACCTCTTTAAGACGGCCACCTGTACAAACGGCCACTTTCCATTTCCCCCCTTGCGTTTTTTCTATATAATTTAACTGAGTAAAACG